AGCTATGGCTCCTCACTGTGCTTACTATTGTGACATGGTTTCAGAGCATTTACGCTCCTGGCCTGTGGGCCCACCACCTAACTGCTTCCGCTGCTACTCTGTCTGTTGCACCCCCCCTGGCGTGCGACGCCTTCTTCCTGCCGGGTTATCTGCCCGCCATGCGCCCCGAGGCGCGCGGCGGTTTCCTACCGTGGGGGACCCACGCACAGCCCTCCGCCCTTCCGTCGCGTCACCCTGCAGGCCGTGCACGGGCCTGCAGGCCGCGCGCGGCCCGTCTGCCCGTCGCGCGGCCTTGGGGACCCGCACGCAACCCCCGCCCTGCTCGTCGCGGCGCCCTAGGGAGCACGCGCGGCCCCCGCCCTTCTTGTCGCGGCGCCCTGGGGAGCCGCGCGCGCCCCCTGCCCGTCCGTCGCAGCGCCCTGGGGAGCCGCGGGTCCCCCCCGCCCGTTCGTTTTGGCGTCGTGAGGAGAGACGCACGGCCCTCCTGTACCGTCCCCCCCCCCCCCCCCCTTGTGCTGCCCATTCCTCCCGTGTTGCCGTGCGTTTCGTGGTGGTGGGGGGTGTGGGGTGGCGAGCATGGGGGTGCGCGGTGTGGTTACTCCCCTTCCCTCTCCCCACCTCCTTGTTCGTCTCCCACTGCTGCAGCTGCTGCTAAGGGGGGTGGAGGTGTGGGAGCCGAGGGGAATGGCGCTAGGGGGGTGACGTGGGAGTGGAGTTAGGGGTTCAGCAGGGGGTGTGTGTCAATGGTCTGGGTCAGTTGGAGGAGGTTGTGTGGAGGTAGCTGTCGTGTCGCCTGCAGCGCCTGTAGTCCGTCGCCCTTGCTTCGGTAGCCAGTGAGCCTGTTGCACCAGTCGCCAGTGGGTCCGTTGCTCCTGCCGCTCGTCTTAGCCGCGGAGCCCGTCACTCCAGTAGTCCGTCGCCCTTGCTTCGGTAGCCACTGAGTCAGCCGCTCCTGTGTTCGTGCCTCTGCAGCTTCAGTCGTTGCCTCCCATCTTCTCTCCTTCCACAGTTCCTCCTCCTCCTCACTTGCCCGCTGTGATTACCTCTAGCTTTGCTTATTATTGTGAACTCCTGCTATGTCTGCTCATTGTGCTGATTACACCCCACTTTGGCTATGGGGGTGTGTCAGAATGTTATTATCTAGCCTGTAGTGGGGTGCTCTATAGCGGGTACAACCCAGTTAGGGTTTGCTATATGTATCCCAACTGCTGCTAGTGAAACCCCTCCTTTGTTCATTTCTCTCTTGCCTAGCTAGCTAAACCCTAGCTATGGCTCCTCACTGTGCTTACTATTGTGACAAACATCTGGTTACTACCCCTGTGTCATGCCTATATATAGCCACGACGATGTACCCAGGATTCAAAATATATTTTCAGAACCAGTTCCTCGATCCTCACAGATGCAGCTCTCTCTCACATTGATGTGCTTCACTGTGCTCTTCAATTGAGGCTCTCGATACAAGAGGGCCATGGCCTTGTTGTCAGCGAACAAGGTTAGTCCAGAGCTCGGCCGCTCGCCAAGGTCGGTAAGCAAGAAGTTCAACCAGCGAAGCTCCTGCCCAGCCATGGCACCGGCCTAGATCTCTGCCGCTGCGCTAGACTGTGCCACAGACGCCGACCGAGTAGACCTCCACGACACAGCTTTTGCGCCCAAGATGAAGCAGTACCCCTGAGTAGACCTGAGTGTCTGCACGCCGTGTGGAGGGTATGGGGGTGGCGGGGGTATGGGGGTGGTGGGAGTGCGTGACCAGCTGCCCCTCCTCCTCCTCCGTCTCCCACTGCTGCAGCTGCCGCTGAAGGGGGTGGGTGTGTGGGAGTCGAGGGAGTGTCGCTAGGGGGGTGTTGTGGGAGTGTAGCTAGGGGTGCAGCAAGGGGTGTGTGAAAGGGGTGTGGGACAGTTGGGGGAGGTTGAGCGGAGGTAGCTGTCGTGACGTCAGCAGCGCCAGTAGTCCGGGGGTCACCCTTGCTTCGGTAGCCCAGCGAGCCTACTGCGCCAGTCGCTTGTGGGTCCGTTGCTCCAGCCGCTCGTCTTAGCCGCGGAGCTAGTGACTCTAGTAGTCCGGATACCCTTGCTTGTATCCGGTAGCCACCGTGCGTGCCGCTCCTGTTGCCCGTGTGTCTGCGGCTTCACCCGTCGCCTCCAATCTCCACTCCTCTCACAGTCCCTCCTCCTCCTCACTTGCCCTCTGTGACTGCCTCTAGCTTTGCTTGTGCTTGTGAACTTCTTATGCTACTGTGTCAAATGTTGTAGCCTGTAGTGATGTTTGTCTTAGGGGGCACAAATGTTAGGGCTTGCTATATGTACCCCAACCCTCATCAATAACACAAAACTTTCATTCTTAACATGGTATCACCTAGGTTTGGATCCTGTGGGATCCCGCACCTCTCGTCCTCGTTCGTTCCGCCCGAGCCTCTCTCGCTCTCTTGTACTAGTCGTACCCGTCTTGCCCGAGCCTAGCGCCGGCCCGATCCAGTCTCGCTCGTTCGTTAGCGCTCGCTCCGCCAACCCGCTTTCCGCGTAGCGTAGCGCCTTCCCCCCCCCTGCCCGTCGCGTTGCGCTCTCCCCGGCTTCCCGTCCCGTCACGCCCTCCCCCGCTGCTCGTCGCGACGTGCCCTCCCACCCTGACTGTCGTGTTGCGTCCTCCCCCTGCTGCCCTAAACGCCCGCTCGTCGTCGCCGCGGCGCCCCGTATTTCGTCGCAGCTGTCAACGGGAGTTGTGTGTTGGCCCCGTCCTCGCTTGGGCGGAGCCGAGTTCGTGGTCGGATGTGAGGGGAGCAGCCGACCTGCAGCAGTGGACGAGCTGGTTGACGAGGAGGTTGACCTGCACGGGGACCACTGCACGGGGTCGACTTCAGTATGAAGCCGACTTCAGGGAGGTCAACCTGGGAAGTGGACCTGCGGAGGACGTCAACTTGGTGACGTCAACTTGGGGAAGCTGACTTCGGTGGTCGGCTGACGGACTGCTGGTCGACCTGGTGGTTGGTCGACTAGGCCTGCTGGTCGACCTGCTGGTGGTCGACCTGACCTGGTGGTCGACGGCAGAGGGGCCGACGTCGACCTCGACTCAGGACGCCGAGCAGCTGGGCGTCAAGTTGCGGGGCGTCAACTTCGTGACGCCGACTTCGGGTAGCCGACTTGGGTGGTCGGCCGACAACTGCGCTGGTCGACATGAAGCTGGTCGACCAGGACTGCTGGTCGACGTGGATCTGGTCGACCAGAAGTGACGTCGACCTGGAGCTGGTCGACCAGAGGCGTGGTCGACCTGGTGAGGTCGACTTGAGGTGGCCGTTGACTTGGGAGGTCGACGAGCACGTATGGAGCAGCTGGTCGACGTGGTTGCCCGGTCGACCAGGTTACCTGGGTGACAAGGTTCTGCGGAGGAGGGCGACGGTCGCCCAGGCGAAGTTGGCGAGCCCGACCTCGGTGGTGGTATCCCGAGATCGACGTGGCTGATCAGAAGCAGTCATCAGCGCCAGGTTGCCTTGGTGTGTGCGTTGTGCAGGTGATGAGGCTCAGCAAGCCAATCATCTGCGAGCACTTGCAAAGCGGGTGCGCTGCTGTTCTGCGTGAGCAGCGCTGGCACGCCGTCAACCTGCGACGTTGGCACGCCGTTGACTTTGCACTGCTGGAGCGCGGTCGACCAAGTCGTGCTGGAACGCGGTCGACCATGCTGCGCTGGCAGTCGACCGACCTCCATGCTAGCTCTGATGTAGTCTTGCCATGCTAACTTCATTGTACCATTGTTGTCAACTTTTCTCTTGTGGAACTCTTGCCAATTCTCCCTGTGAACTAGCAAACTGTGTGTGCACTAGGAAAACGACTAAGGACCAATGAACGCAGAGATCACACGAGCACCCATGCCTAGCCCGTAGTCTAGCTCCCGTTGTAGTAGTTATCTCCGCAGCAGCGGCGCCCCGTATTTCGTCGCAGCGGCGCCCCGTATTTCGTCGCCGCGGTGCCCCGCGTTTTGTCGTCGCGGCGCCCCGCATTTCGTTGCCGCGCCTGCCCGTACCGCCCGCCGCCGCGCCTGCTCGTTAGGCCTGACCACGGGCCCGCTCGTCCTATCGCCGCGCCTGCTAGTTAGGCCCGCCGAGGGCCCTCCCTTATAGCCGCCGCGGGCCCTCCCTTACAGCCGCCACGCCTACTAGTTAGGCCCGCCGCGGGCCCTCCCTTACAGCCGCCGCGGGCCCTCTCTTACAACCGCCGCGCCTGCTAGTTAGGCCCGCAGCGGGCCCTCCCTTACAGCCGTTGCGGGCCCTGCCTTCCAGCCGCCGCGCCTGCTTGTTAAGGCCCGCCGCGGGCCCTCCATTACTGCCGCTGTAGGCCCTCCTATGCACCGCTGCGCCTACTCGTTCAGTCCGCCGCGGGACCGCCCCTAGCCCCATTGCGCTAGCGTTTTGCGCCCGTCATGGACTTGCCCTAGCCGCCTATCGTCCCTACCAGTGCCACCCACCGCCCAAGTTGTCACTTCTACTTACACTATGGCGACCCCTAGGGTTCTTCGCTTCGACGCTGACGGTAGACCATTCGAGTTTCCGGTCTGGCTCCTCTGCGCGCGTCGCATCTTAGAGAGTCAGGTTCAGGCGGGCGAGTCCCTTTGGGCGCACGCTACTGGTGACCTTCCATTGCCCGACGACCCTACGCCTTTAGGCACTGCCCCTGACGACGCAGCCAGGGACCGCTTCACCCGCCAGCGTGCTGACCTGACGACGTGGAAGTCGCGTGACGCTGTGGCCTGCATCGCTCTTAGCAGCCTCCTCTCTGAGTCTGAGGAGGCCCACTTCACATAGGTTCGCACTGCTAGTGAGTTTCTGACTGCGATTAAGGCCCGCTACGCTACTCCCACCACTGTCTCTCTTGGCCGACTCTTCCTACCGTTCTTGTTCCCTGACCTCGCCTCGTTTGAGCGCTCTGCTGACTTGATTGCTCACCTCTGCTCGCTTGATTCTAGCTACCGCGCTGCTTGCACTGAGGCACAGCTTGCACTGATCCCTCCCCCCATGGCGATTACTATCTTTTTTATCGCCACTAGCCTCCCTGACCGCCTTGCCTCAGTCCGTGACACGCTTCTTCTGAAGCACCCTAGTGAGCTCACTATCGAGGTCCTTGAGTCTGTGCTCAAGGACGTCGAGAGCAACCTTCGCTCCGTAGCCTCCGCCTTTGGTGCTGTGCCCCCTCCACTGTTCCACGGGTGCACTGTCCCTCAGCTGCCCACCTTCACAGCCTCTCTCGCCACTGCTGCTATTGACGTGACCGCAGCTGCTGTTACAACTTCTTCACAGTCTCGAGGTAGAGGTGGCAAGAGGGGCGGTCAGGGTACAGGTGGCGGCGGCGGTGGAGGCGTTGGCGGCGGAGGTGGCGGGGGTGGCGTGCCGACTGGTGGCAGCGGGAGTGCAGGGCATGGAGAGGCGTCTCATGCAGCGGCTGGTGACTCCGCTACTGCAACTGGTTGAGGCAACGCCCGGGCTCGTCAGCCTTCTGGTCTGCCAGCCGCGGCGGGTGGAGCAGCGGCGTCGTATCTGGCCCAGTGGCACCAGCAGCAGCAGCAGCCCCTCCTTTTGCAGCAGCCCCCGCAGCAGCAGCGGCAGCAGCAGGTTTCGGGGCCAGGACAACGTCAGCCTCAGCAAGGTGTTGTTCACCCTTCGTGCACCTATCAGCTTTTGACAGGTGCTCGCCGTGGCCAGCCTTGTGGCCGCACCCACCCTCCTGCTCAGTGCTTTGCTCAGCTCACTGACACAGTTTGCTTGGCCTTCGGCGTTGGCGGCCCTGCCCCTGACTGGTTTCCTCTTGTTCAGACGTACGACTCCGCTCTTTGGGGCATTTCAGCATATCTGCTGGTTGATCTCTTAGGAACTCCTCATGCAATGTGTGCTGTTGTTGACTCTAGTGCTTCTTCCTCTATTTACTCGAGTGTTGTTAGCTTAGGTGCTAGGCTTGGTGAGTTGCCTGTTGCTACTGTAGGCACTTGTGTAGACACTAGTGCAGGAGCTACTTCGGAGGACGCTTCGTTGTCTTTCACTTTGGACTCTGGGGCTTCGCACTGCTTCTTCCGAGACCACACGACCCATACTTCGCTTCCGGCGCCGGTCTCTATGGCTCTGGCTGATCCCACCTCGGGACCAGACACTGCTCGCTACACTACTACTCTTCCGTGCCCTGCTGTTCCCTCTGGGTCTCTGACTGGCTTCCACATCCCCTCGTTCTCGCGGAACTTGGTGGGCGTGAGGCCTCTTGTGAGTCAGCACGTGGGTGTGTGGATTGAGCCCTCTGGCGAGACGGCGGTTTGTGTTGACGGAGACACTTACACGCCTCTTGCCACCTTTAGAGCTGAGCCGGGCTCTGGTCTCTACACACTTAAAACTACCTGTGGTGGGCAGCACCAGCAGCAGCCGCAGCAGCAGCAGTAGCAGCAGCACCAGCAACAGCGACTACTGCCCCCGGCCCCTGTTCCTTCCCCCAGTCTGGTCCCTGCGTCTCACCAGGTTGTTGCGTCCCCCCAGGTAGCTGTGTCTGGTCAGGTTCCCGTGTCTTGTCCAGTTGCTGCGTCATGCTCCTGCCGGTTACTTGCCCACCCCACCGTTCTGTGGCACCACCGGATGGGGCACCCGTCTCTCCCTCGTCTGCGCACTATGTCTCGTCAGCGTCTTGTCTTAGGCCTCCCACGTGTCTTGCCATCGCTGCAGCCTTCGCTTGCACCACCGTGCGGTCCCTGCGTCGAGGGTAGGCTGCGCGCCACCCCTCACTCCTCCTCCCTTCGTCCGGCCACCGAGCCTTTTGAGACGTTCCACTTGGACGTTTGGGGCCCCGACTCTCGCCTTGGCCCTGAGCGTGAGCGTTTCTTTCTGGTGGTCGTTGACGACTACTCCCGCTACACCACAGTGTTCCCCCTTGCGAAGAAGTCTGAGGTGAATTCTACGCTAATAAGGTGGTTGCTTACCACTGAGGGCACTCGTGGTCGTCGAGTCGGCTGTCTTCTCTCCGACCGTGGGGGTGAGTTTCGCTCCGGCATTCTCGCTGGATTCTGTTGCGAGCAGGGCATTCGTCAGTCTTGGACGCTTCCAGAGTCCCCACAGTAGAATGGGGTTGCTGAGCGCCGCATAGGCTTGGTCTTGGAGATCGCCCGCACCTCCTTGACTCACGCCCGTGCCCCCCATTTTCTGTGGCCCTACGCGGTTAGGTACGCCGCTCATGAGCTGAACCTCTGGCCACGTGTCTCTCGGCTAGAGGTTTCACTGACTAGTCTTTGGACCGGGTCCCCTGGTGTTGTGTCGCGGTTTCGTGTCTGGGGCTGCTTGGCTCTTGTTCGCGACACCTCCGCGGACAAGATCTTGCCTCGCGCCGTTCCTTGTGTCTTCCTTGGTTTCCCAGAGGACTCCTCTGACTTCACCTTTTACCACCCTCCCCTTCACCGGTTCTTTGACTCCCGTGACGTCAGTTTCGACGAGTCCGTCCCCTACTACGTCAGGTACCCCTGCCAAGGTCTCCCAGTTCCTCCTCCCCCTCTCTTCCTGACTTCCGCTCCCCCTCCTGCTCCCCCGGTACAGCCTCCCCCCCCTGGTCCAGCCCCGTCAGGTGTGTCCCACGCTACCCCTCCCCCCTCGGTAGCCCCTCAGGTACAGCCTCCTTCCCCGCAGTCCTCCTCGCAACCTGCGGTAGACCTTGCAGGAGCCAGTGTTCGTGGCGAGGACCCTGTCGGTGCTAGCTCTGGGGGTGCTGGAGTTGGGGCTGAGCCCGAGGCTGCAGGAGACTCTTGTCTTCCGGGAGCTGGTGTAGGTGGTGCTGACTCTGGGGGTGCTACGTCTGGGGGTGCGGGTGCGCCCCCTTCGGGTCCTTGTGGGCCTGGCCGTGTTGCTGTTGGTGGTACTGCCTCTGGGGGTGGTGCGCCAGGTGCTTTGGAGAGTGGTCCTGGGGCTGCCGCGGCCCTGGACACTACTCCTCCTCCCCACCCCTACCCGACCTGGCACCTGGCTCGTGTTCACCGTGCTCGCGAGGAGCAGCTGGAGTTAGAGAGAGAGGAGAGAGAGTTGCAGCGGCTGGAGGTGGAGCAGCGGCAGCAGCAGCGGCTGGAGGAGTAGCAGCAGCAGCCGCGGGAGCAGCAGCAGCAGTCGCAGCTGCCGCAGCCGCACCAGGAGCAGCAGCCGCAGCCACCTCCTCCTCTTATCTCTGGTCTTCGGACTCTCGGTCTCCCCTCTCCCTCTCCTTCCTCCTCCCCCTCTCCTCCTGTCTACGGTCCCTTGTTTCCTCCTCCTGACTCCTCCCCAGCTGTTCTCCCTCGTTCTCCGACTCAATTGTCTCCCCCTCCTTTGCTCGCCTGGCCCTCTCGTCGCTCTCCTCGTGCTCGTCCCTCGTCCCCTGTCGCTCTCACTGACCTTCCTACTGCCCTGTTCCGTCCTAGTCCACCTCGTTTGTCTCAGTCTGTGCTTCCTTCTCCTCCTAAGTCGGCCTTTACTGCTTCCCTCTCTTCTCTTGTCACTGACTACTACCGCACGTACCGTCCTGTTCTCTCTCGTGTTCTCGCCTCTCTTGTTACGGACCCTCGTGCCTCTCTGTCCTCTGTCTCCGCCCTTACTGTCGCCGTCACTGAGCTCACCACTACTCGCCGCCTTGACTACGCCACTTGTCTCATGGCTGCTCCTCCTACCAGTCCTCTGGCCGTCGGGGGTGAGTCTGCCCTTAGCTGTGACGCCCTAGAGGACAGGCAGTTTGAGTTGGAGTTCCTGGCAGCCGCTTCCCCTCATCTCTGTGCCGTGCTGCTCTCCCCTGAGGGAGACCCCGACGCCCTTGACATACCGACTCCTCGCACTTATGCTGAGGCAGTGTCAGGGCCTTGGGCCTCTCAGTGGAGAGCTGCCGTGGACGCAGAGATGGCCTCCTACACATCCACAGGCACCTACGTCGACGAGGTTCCCCCCCCCTGGGGCGAACGTAGTCGATGGCATGTGGATCTACAGGGTGAAGCGGCCACCGGGATCTCCTCCGATCTTCAAGGCGCGCTATGTGGCCAGAGGTTTCAGTCAGCGCGAGGGAGTAGACTTCTTTCAGGCCTTCGCGCCTACGCCGAAGATGACCACACTTCGGGTGTTACTACACGTAGCAGCACAGAAAGACTACGAGTAACACTCTCTCAACTTCTCCACTGCTTTTCTTCAGGGTAGCCTTCACGAGGAAGTCTGGCTGCGTCGTCCCTCTGCCTTCACTGGCACTTTCCCTCCTGGGACCCAGTGGAGGCTGAGGCGACCTGTCTATGGTCTTCGTCAGGCTCCTCGTGAGTGGCATGACACCCTTCGTTCTACCCTCTCTGACCTTGGGTTCCAGCCGTCTTCTGCCGACCCGTCGCTGTTTGTCCTTCGTGGCTTCGCACCTTTCTTTGTTCTGGTCTACGTCGACGACCTGGTTTTTGCCACTGCTGACAGGGCTGCCTTGGCAGATGTGAAGTCCGAACTGCAGAAGAGACACACGTGCACTGACCTTGGTGAGTTGCGCCACTACCTTGGCCTGCAGATCACCAGGGACAGAACTGCTCTCACCATTACACTGTCACAGTCACACATGGTGCAGCAGGTTCTTCAGCGGTTCGAGCTTCAGCACTCCACAGTACAGCGCACACCTCTTGCTCTTGACCACAGACTTATTGGACCCTTTCCTGACGAGCCGTTTGAGTCTAGTGGTCCCTACGCAGACCTGGTGGGCCGCCTCATGTACCTGATGACTTGTACTCGCCCGGACCTCGCCTTCCCTCTCATCATCCTTGCTCGCTTTGTTGCACCAGGGAGACACCGTCCTGTTCACTGGACGGCAGCTGTGAGGGTGGCGAAGTACCTAGCGACGACATCAAGCGTGGGGCTAGTTCTTGGAGGGCAGCAGTCTATCGTACTTACTGGTCACTGTGACTCTTCTTACGCTGACGACGCTGAGACTCACAGGTCTACTCAGGGGTACTGTTTCAGCTCGCGTTCTGGAGTTGTTTCGTGGAGGTCCACGCGCTCCTCTTCGGTCTCGACCTCTACTGCTAAGGCTGAGATCTACGCTGGTGCCATGGCGGCACAGGAGCTGCGTTGGTTCACCTTCATGCTCGCCAACCTTGGTGAGCGGTCGAGCTCTGCACCAACCTTGTGAGAAAATGAGAACGAGAATGAATGAACTATGAAACAGTTGGGTACAAGTACTAACCCTAATTGGGTTGTACCCCATATGGGCTACCCCACTACAGCCTACACAAAAGCATAAGCTATAATGTTCTGACACACCCCCATAGGCAAAGTGGGGGAGAACAAGCGGTCACAAGACCAGTCAAGCAAAGCAAAGCAAAGCAAGCTCAGGGTGGATCACAAAGTCACCACACATTCCGAGCACAAGTTCAAGGCCACAAGGCCAGTTCACATGCATGAGTACATATATATAGAAAGCTAGACAAGCAAGAGCAGGTGTATAGATATGTAACAGTACAAGTAAGGTCAAGAGGTGAGCAAGTGAGGCAAGACACGCACAAGACCAAGCTGAGTACAGAGGCGCTGATAATCACACGGCGCAAGTGCCTTGGTGAAGATATCAGCAGTGTTGGCCTCAGAGGCCACGTACGCAAGACGCAACTGACCACGCTGCTGCAGCTCACGAGCAAGGAAGTAGCGAAGAGCAATGTGCTTCGTTCTGTGCTCCAGACTCTGCTCTCGACACAAGGCCAGCATGGCCTTGTTGTCTACGTACAGCACTAGAGGAGAACGAGGCAGCTCTCCAAGGTCAGTCAGCAGGTAGGTGAGCCAGCAAAGCTCCTGTGCAGCCATGGCCCCGGCGTAGATCTCAGCCTCACAACTGGAGCCGAAAACAGAAGACGAGCGAGTAGCCCGCCACGAAACAGAGCCGGAACCAAGGCTGAAGGTGTAACCCTGTGACAACCGCTGCGTGGCCTGGTCGTCTGCCCAAGAAGCGTCCGCGTGCCCAGTGAGGACCACTGGACTCCGCCCTCCAAGCACTAGCCCCATGCCCAACGTACTGCACAAGTAGCGCAACACCCTCTTCGCTGCAGCCATGTGCTCTGGTCTGTGTCTCCCAGGAGCAACATAGCGTGCAAGAATGCTAAGAGGGTATGCAAGGTCAGGTCGTGTGCAGGTCATCAGGTACATGAGGCAGCCAACAAGCTCTGGGTACGGGCCACTCGGCTCTACGGACTCATCCGAAGGCAGAGCTGAGAGCGAGTGGCGAGTAGACAGAGGAGTGGCCTGAGGCGAGGAGTACGTGAAGCCGAAGCGCTGAAGGACCTGCTGCACCATGTGTGACTGAGTCAGGGTAATGGTGCAGCGTGCTCTGTCCCGGGTGATCTACAAGCCAAGGTAGCTGCGCAGTTCACCCAGGTCTGTGCACGTGTGTCTCTTCTGCAGTTCCGACTTCACGTGGGCGAGTCCAGCAGTGTCAGCTGTGGCAAAGACCAAGTCGTCGACGTACACGAGGATGTAGAACGGCGGCAGAGAGGTGTTGGTGCGTAGAAACAGCGACGGGTCAGCAGTAGAGGGAGCAAACCCAAGAGCCGCAAGTGTAGTCCTCAGTGTGTCGTGCCACTCGCGCGGTGCCTGGCGGAGACCGTAGACTGGCCGTCGGAGGCTCCACTGGGTGCCAGGAGGGAAAGTCCCAGTGAAGCCAGGTGGACGGCGCAACCAGATCTCCTCGTGCAGGCTACCCTGCAGGAAAGCAGTGCTGAAGTCAAGGGAGTGAAGCTCGTAGTCACGCTGAGCGGCAACGTGTAGCAGCACCCGAAGAGTGGTCATCTTCGGGGTGGGAGAGAAGGTCTGAAAGTAGTCAACTCCCTGCCGCTAACTGAAGCCACGAGCCACGTACCGCGCCTTGAAGACAAGTGGAGAGCCCGGCGGCCGCTTCACCCTGAAGATCCACATGCCACTGACGATGTTCGCCCCAGGAGGGGGAACCGCGTCAACGTAGGTGCCTGTGGACTTCTAGGAAGCCATCTCTGCATCCATAGCTGCCTGCCACTGAGACGAGTAGGGACCCTCTACGGCCTCCGCGTAAGAGCGCGGAGTCGGGATGTCTAGTGCATCCGGGTCTCCCTCAGGGGTAAGCAGTACGGACGCGAGATGAGGTGAAGCAGCAGCCAGACACTAGAACTCCTCCTGCCTGTCCTCAAGGACGTCCGTGCCAAGAGCACACTCACCCCCGACGGACGGAGGACAGACAGACGCAGACTCAGCAACAAGACTAGCAGCGTAGTCTAGACGACAGCGAGCAGCAAAGTCGACGAGCTCAGCAACAAGAGCAGACGCAGCAGTGGACTCAAAAGAGGGGTCAGTGACGACAGTAGCAAGGAGACGCGTGAGAGTAGGACTGGCAGCACGAAGAGAGTCCGACTCAGGGTCGGCAAGTACACGAAGAGAGGACTCAGGAGGAGAGGGCAAGGGGGCACGCAGAGGAGCAGTGGACGGACGCAGAGACATCCGGTGCGTGCCAGGGACAAGAGGAGGACGCTGACGCGAACTGGGACCACTAGTGCGAGCAGCACGAACAGGCGACGCAGGACAAGACGCAGGCTCACGACGCTCAGCAAGACCTCCAGTAGGACCAGTGTACGGAGAAGGAGAAGGCAGTGGGGAGACCGGTGGTAACTGTGACTGCGACTGGACAGGCGGTGGACACTCTAAGGGAGGAGGAAG